CCGCGGCAGCAATCCTGCGACGACACACGGATCCCCCGCCACGGTTTGGCAGCCCTATTCAAATGTATCACACTCACAGCCTTTTTTCCCTTTACTTTTGTTTGTTTGACAATCAGTTCCAACATTAACAGGATTCACTCTTCCCTTTAGAGATGGCCACAGCCATCTGAGGGGAAAACTCTATGTTTCCCCCTCAGATGGCTGTGGCCCCGCCCCAGCGTACCCGGCGTCATCACGTCACCTCCGGGAGCCCGCCGCCGCGGGGCGAAAACGACTTGGCAACCCTAACCCTCACTGACTGAACACCAACTGAACAAACTGAACACTCACAGACTTAACTCTCTAACTGAACAATTCCAACTGATTTTCCTAACTGTCTCTCATAACTGTCTCTCATGACACACCCACACAGATTCACTTCAGAAACCCCTCCCACACTCTGTCATCCACCAGTCACAGCACCTCTGTCTCTCTCAGTCACTCTAGTCTACTAACCATGCACTCCAACCAAGCATTTAAAGGCACACACACCCTCATAAAACAAGGAATCATTACAGAACCGTAGGAACAATAGTCAAACTTTCTATCAGGTAAGTTCGTCTAGGATCGCAGAGCTTGAGAAACCTCGACAGGCTGCTGAGGATTCCCTAGAGCACAGTTTGGGGGAAAAAAACCCTTTATGCCGTTATTCAGGGCTCTTCTTAAGCTTCACTCAGAGGGGGCATAGGCAAATCAATAGAAATCCACTTGGTAGGTGTAGGGGGTTTTTAGGGGTCCAGACCTCTTCCAGGGATCCCTAACCTCATTAGGGTTCTTTTCTATGGGTGGGTGGAGGCTGTATAGGGAACTGAGGCCCCCAGAGGGAGAGAAGCACAGCGAGAACAGTTGCCTTAAACTAGGAGTATTTCCAGGGCTATTTTTGGGGAGGAATGGAGTATTTGAAACCCCTGTGGGCCGTATTTGAAACCCCTGTGGGCCGTATTTGAAACCCCTGTGGGCCGTATTTGAAACCCCTGTGGGCCGTATTTGAAACCCCTGTGGGCCGTATTTGAAACCCCTGTGGGCCGTATTTGAAACCCCTGTGGGCCGTATTTGAAACCCCTGTGGGCCATAATTTGTCTCCCTCTGTTTTGAGAAAGTAGAGAATTCTGGAAGTTTCAGTTAGTGGAGAAATTTCCTAGTCATTTGTTCTCCCTGCAATGTGTACATCTGCATATCAGACTCTGGAGACAAGGAAGTGATGTTACCTGCTTCTGGACTTTCAGGGGCATCTGGTTAAACTCTTGGAAACAGAAGCTCTGCGAGGTAGACTTTGGTCTAATCCAGCACATATCCTTATAGGGGACGTAGACATCCCTGCCCAAATATCCTAATAGATCTTGTAATAAAACTATTTCTGTACTGTACAACTTCAGACTTCCATGAACATATGGTCATCAGAAGAACCTGCTGGATTAGACCAGTGGTCCATCTTGTTTCTCTGTGAGGCATGATAAGAACATAAGAGAAGCCAATGTGGTCAAGAAGCAATGGCCCACCCAGTCCAACACTCTGTGTCACACAGTGGCCAAAACCCAGGTGCCCTCAGGAGGTCCACCAGCGGGGCCAGAACTCCAGAAGCCCTCCCACTGTTGCCCCCCGAGTACCAAGAATACAGAACATCACTGCCCCAGACATAAGAACATAAGCCATGTTGGATCAGGCCAATGGCCCACCCAGTCCAACACTCTGTGTCACACAGTGGCCAAAACCCAGGTGCCCTCAGGAGGTCCACCAGCGGGGCCAGAACTCCAGAAGCCCTCCCACTGTTGCCCCCCGAGTACCAAGAATACAGAACATCACTGCCCCAGACATAAGAACATAAGCCATGTTGGATCAGGCCAATGGCCCACCCAGTCCAACACTCTGTGTCACACAGTGGCCAAAACCCAGGTGCCCTCAGGAGGTCCACCAGCGGGGCCAGAACTCCAGAAGCCCTCCCACTGTTGCCCCCCGAGTACCAAGAATACAGAACATCTGCCCTAGACAGAGTGTTCCATCTATACCTTGTGGCTGATAGCCACTGATGGACCTCTGCTCCATATCCTGTTTCACATAGCTTGCTTCAAGTCCAGTAGCACGTTAGATACCAACAATATTTTCAGAGTACAAGGTTTTGAGAGTCAAAGCTCTCGTCATTGGATCCTGTTTTACACAGCGTCCAGTCTGTTGCCCTTCCTGCAGGATCAACAGACTGGACACAGAGGCCAAGGCCTTCCCTTGATGTCGAAACATTTGTGTACCCATAGGACAGCATTTGAACACGTAAGCAAGGACACATGTTTAAACGTTGTCCTACAGGGGGAACCTTTCTACACCTAGAAAAGTAGCCTGTCAGAGTAGCCTTTCTCCCTGCTATCTCCTTTTTGTGTGTGGGGGTCTTTTTATATGTATGGAGCATCCGGTTCTAAAGTTTCTTCGCTCATTCTCCCTGGGGAGCACTTCCAATCCAACTGCAGTGATGGTGATCAGACTCTTGCCATTTTTCACACCCGGAACCCATGTAGTTATAGGCCCTTGGATGCACTAACTCAGATATCTGTTTCCGTTCCCCCTTCCCCTCGGCACGCAGAACTGGTTCCGGACCTCTACAGAGACTCTCCCGAAAAAGAAGAGCAAAGAACAGACCGTTCCCAACGGGGAAGAGCAAAAGAAAATCACAGACGGGAAGAAAAGGGGCCGAAAGCCAAAGGAAAGACCCCCGGAAGCTTCCTCCAAAGGCAAAGAGAGCACAGCAGAAATGACTAACCATAAGAAAACGACAGGGTTGTGGGAGATGGCGGACGGCGACCCTGATGGGAGAGAGTCCAGCAGCAAGCCCCCGCAAAGCAAGAAGGGGGGAGCCAGCAAGATGCCTGAAAAATAAGGAACGACTCTCTGATTCTTCGTTTACAGCCCAGGGTATCGGGGCGAGGGTCGCTCCGGGTTTGCCCTCAGCCCCTCCATTCATCCCTTTTTTCAACGGGGAAAAAACCACTTTAAGGTACAATAATGGACGTTTGTTTCACACTGGAAGAGGAAAAGAAAACACACACACACACCTACCCAGGATGGTCGATTCTGTTCCTCCATCGAAATCCCCCCTCCCCTCGATGAATTGTATATACATTTGCACTTATGGACACCTGTGGATCGCGCGCTGCATCCACGGATGTGTAGGATGATAACGGCTGCCGGCGGGATCCTCTTCTCACCGTTTTCCCCCCGCTTTGAGATGGGGAATCGATGCGGCTCAAGTGAGGAGGGAGCTGCCGGAGCCGAAGGAGAGCCGGCGGGAGCACAGAAGTGCAATATGGGAGCCCAGGTGTAAGCGCTTCATTCTCTTTTTGATTTGTGGATTGCTTTTCCATCAGGAACAGAGCTGGTGGGAAGTCTGTGAATGAAATCTGTCGTGGTGGTGGTGGTGGTGGTCGCAAACCCTCTTTTATCATTTTCATAGGAAACACGTTTTTGTTCGTTCGCTTAACCCCGAGGTTGTTTGACGATGACCGTTTCCGAATCCTCGTCGTCGTTTTATTTTCAAATTTTGAATTGATTTTGAAGCTTCTGTATCTTTTTAAAGCGTTTTCCGTAGATGGGAAAGAGGTCGTCGCCCGTTTGGGAAATGAAATTTTCGTTTCAGGGAACGAAAACCTTCGGAGCGTCCGGTTGGCAGAGATGTTTCGGAAGCCGCTCTGCTCCGGGAGACGGGGTTTTTTTTCCCGAACAGGAAATTGAATTATTGGGGTTTTTTAATTGTGGAAACCGCAAAAGCACTTAAGAAAGCTCTGAAAGGAAATAATGAGTGGGTTCCAAAATCATTCGGGAACACAGAAAGATCAAGTGACTCGGTAGGTTCAGTTGATTCATTCAATAATCCAGGTTAATTTCTGTAGAAGTACATCTTTGTTGGTCATGTGGTTTATCTTTGGGTGTCCTCTTCTTTCACGTGAGTTCACTCAGCACTTCTGATCCGCACAATCCACCTGTGCCACGGTCTTTCGTCTCTTTGAGCCTTTCACCCATCACAGGGCAAACAGAATTAGTTGCCAGATGAGTATGTGCCGTCCAGCCCAGGTGGCTAATTTCCTGATGTTTGTGTGGGATTGTCCCAAGAGAATATGTAGCTGTGTTTCCAGAAGTTCTTCCGATTATGTTGTAAAGCACCAAAACAAGAGCAAGAGTAGTCTTTCGCAGAGACAGTCAGCTGGTGTCTGGGCTATACCATTTTGGTTTGCCTGTAGTGGTTCTCATGAATAATCCTCCTCCGTACGAGATCATGGAGCTGCGGTGGCTCAAGTGGTTAAGACGCTGAACTGCAGGCTGTGGAAGGTCGGTAGTTCAGCAGTTCGAGACCCGGGTGTGCCACATGACGGAGTGAGCTCCCGTCTCTAGTTCCAGCTCCTGCCAACCTAGCAGCTTGAAAGCAAGAAATTGCAAGTAGATAAATAGGTACCACTTCAGTGGGAAGGTAACAGCGTTCCGTGCGCCTTGGTGTTTAGTCATGCCAGCCACGTGACCACGGAAACGTCTTCGGACAGCGCTGGCTCTTCGACTCGGAAACGGAGATGAGCACCGCAACCCTAGAGTCTGATTTGACTGCTTTCGAGCAAGGGAAACCGTTACCTTACTTTATACGAGATCATCCGTTTTGCACAAAACAGGGGCAGACGTGCATGCGAACAGACCACTTGGTTCAGCACGCAGGGCCAGTTTTTCCAGACCAGGGACCAAGAAAAGGGTTCAGCTTGCTTCCAGCTATGGCCTGTATCTTTCCCAGCGCCCCTTTTATTTACCATCATGCCAGCATCTTCACAGGTAGACATCGCAGGGTTATTTTGCAGTAGGTCCAAAAAGATTGCCTACCCTGGTATAAAAAAAGGGGATGCCAGGGGGAAAGTTTGTCGCCTAATCATCTTGTGGCCGACTTTTCTTCTTACCAGAAGGGTATTTGGTACTGCAGAACACTCCCTGCATTGTCAAGGAGTACAATCCAAACACAGGTTGACCACTTCCATGAGAACAAGTCTTTATGCATGGGAAAAAACTGTACAGAATGATACTTTGGCACAGGGCAAACACAGTGCTTGACTCAGGTTGAGATACCGCAAGGCAAGGAAAGCCATGGGTTAGATTATTTAAGTTTTGTTATCAGAGGACGGGTATGCACAGGAGCGAGAGATGCCATTACCTGTTTCAAGCAGGTGTGTCCTTCATTGTGGGCTATTGCGGTATCTTGGGTTGTAAAACTTCTGGAAATTTTGAAAACACGGAGGGGAAATTGGAGGGGCTCAGGAGGTAGCAGACATTTTGCCAAAAAATTGAAATCTATACAGCACTTGAGAATCTCCAAACTTATTTTGCTGCTTTACATCATAACGTGCATCATTTAGAACTTTGTTAACGTTTAAAACTGCACTACTTGGCATATTTATGGAATTTAAAAGTATAAATGGTTTACATTTCCTACACGCAAAATTGCAAAGATATCCAGTACCGGCGAGAGCTGCAAGTTCTTGTATAAAGTTGTTCATGCCCCGCGTTTTGAATGACTAAAACCTTGTGAAAACGTTTCGCTCATCCCAAAGGGAAAAAAATTAATTTATAATAGTTTCCTTCAGTGTTCTCCAAAATCCAAATTTCCCATCAGAAATTGAAAAGGAATCCTTAAACCAGAAAACAACCCCCCCCCCCCCTGTTTTTTTCTTCTTCTTTTCCTGGGCCTTCACGTCTCTAGGAGTTACAGTAGTCGTGTTTTGTGTGGACTGTTCTCTACAGAGAAAAAAAAAATCCAGTCGTGGATGATTGCTATAGCACAGTGGTAGAGCAGAAGGTCCCATGATGTGTGGAGGTAGGCTGAATCGCACAACTTACTCGCAGGTAGTTAACAAGCAAAGCACAAGCCTTGTGTGTCCCGTAGACAATTTTTGCATGATGTGAAGACACTCTCGGTCTTAGCTGTTAAACTACTGTGTGATGATGTATGGTGGTGGGCCTGACCCTAGCACTGCATGAACAAAATCCTGCTCTGTGACAGATAAAAGTTTCTGTGAATGATGCTGGCCTGCTAACAACAAACCTAAGGCAGGAAATGAACCTGAGGCCTCCAGCTCTTTAAAAACAACAGACCTTTTAGGCATTTATGTAAATGCATGTAACTTCTGGCTTTCTCCCAGGGAATCCTGAGAGCTGTAGTGCTATTAAGGGCCTATGGCTTTCCCACAAAGCAGCACCCTTATGAAAGCACCAGGATGCCTCGAAGGAAGCCGTGCATATTAAACTCAAATATACAAACTCCACTAGTAGAAAACACCATCGAAGATTGCCAAAACAATATATTAAACGATTATAAAATGGAGTATAAGGAAGGCCGAGCGCCGAAGAATTGATTCTTTTGAACTATGGTGCTGGAGAAGACTCTTGAAAGTCCCTTGGACTGCAAGAAGATCAAATCAGTCAATCCTAAAAGTAATCAACCCTGACTGTTCCCTGGAAGGCCAGATAATGAACATAAGAACATAAGAGATGCCAATGTTGGATCAGGCCAAAGGCCCATCCAGTCTCCACTTTATAATTGTTTAATATATTGTTTTGGCAGCCTTTGATGGTGTTTTCTACTAGTGGAAGGGCTGCAGTGGCTCAAGTGGTTAAGACGCTGAACTGCAGGCTGTGGAAGGTCGGTAGTTCAGCAGTTCGAGACCCGAGCGTGCCGCATGACGGAGTGAGCGCCTGTCTCTGGTTCCAGCTCCTGCCAACCTAGCAGTTACAAAGCAAGAAAATGCAAGTAGATAAATAGGGACTGCTTCGGTGGGAAGGGAACAGCGTTCCGTGCGCCTTGGTGTTTAGTCACGCCGGCCACATGACCACGGAAACGTCTTCGGACAGAGCTGGCTCTTCGGCTTGGAAACGGAGATGAGCACCGCAACCCTAGGATTCGACTGGGTTTTGAGCAAGGGAAACCTTTACCTCTACCAGTGGAATTTGTATATTTGGGACTCCTGTGACACTAGTCTTTTCCCCTTGTTGTTTGGATTTAGTGCATATGTGCTACAACCCCCGCTGGAGTTCGTCCGTGTGACCTAAACCAACCAGGTCTTGGACCTCAGGTAGTTCAGGGCATCCGTGAAATGCCACTACAGAGAGAATGCCACATAGCAGCCATATGATACACAGGGTTTCTGCAGAACCCGAATTTCTGTGCATACCGAAAGCCGATAAATAGACTGAATCTCCACAATGTCCATACCGTTTGTGTAATTCCATGTCTGCGGTTGGCATGTATTGGATTTTTGTTTGTTTGTTTCCAGTGTCAGAGGAGATACAAACCAAGTTTGTAAGCAGCCACCAGACTGGTCACCTGTAGCCAACAGGAATTGCCTCTGGAAGTCAATCGGGCTACGGTCACAGACACAAAATCATTTTTGTCACTCAATTGTCCCTATTGCTTTGGGTTCCCCCTCCCCCCTTTCCCACATGTGTTTTGCTCCCTCTGGGACTACTACAGAGAGCAAAACACATTTTTTTGGGGGGGGGGGAGAAAACCCTGAAGCAACAGGGACAAGTGGAAGCGTGCACTGGCAAAATCCAGTTGTGAAGTGGACTGTTTGGCGTGTGTCACCGCAGCCTCGGTGGTTGTTTTTCCTTCCAGGCTTTTGATATACCCAGGGGTCATTTCGTGGAATTAGCATAACTTATTTGCATATGCCACACCCCCTGGCATCACCGGAAGTGTGTCAGAAGGCAACACCCACCGCTCAGGCTCCACTGGGCTGTTTTAGATTGCTAGCTATTGTGGGGGGGGGACGTGCAGATCTGCCCTCGCAGAGGAGGGAGAGCTTGTACCTGAATAAAACGTGGTCTTAAAGGTGCCACTGGACTGTTTTGGACCAGGGGGCGGGGGGAGGGGCTCTGCAGCTTACCTGGCTGCTTCTTGCTCTGACTGAGGGCTGCTGGGGGCAGGGGGCGGGGCTTGTTGCAAGTGCCCGCCCCCTGGGCTCTTTACTGCCGGAGCTCCGCTCCTGTGCGCTCCTGCAGGAAATGACCCCTGGGTATACCACGAATGCTGACAAAGAAGCGAGTGGGACGCCACGGGTCTTCTCCAGTAACACTGGCACTTTGCCACACCCTTATTTTTTATTTTTTTTAATTTTTTTTGCATTTTTACCCCACCCTCCCCGCGAACGGGCTCAGGGCGGCTTACACAGG